TACATGAAGTTGTTGATAACGAAAACCAGGAAATTATCATGTTGTCACAGTTAAATATAATTCCGATTGCAATATGTAGAACAATACTGTTAAAATATTTATAGAGTCAAAATAACCCTTAAAATAAAAGTGTTGAATAAATATTCTCACTGAAAAAATACGAGTATTTAAGTTTGCATATGATATTACATTTTTGCTGCTAAACTTTGATCATACTAAAAAGAGGGTATATCTCGCTTGATTTTGTGAAAAGAACTTTTGTCACACATTGACTAGAAACAATTTAATGATAAGCATACAAGTAGCCAAAATGGATCGTAACAGTAAATCTAATCAATATATTGATAAGGTAGCAATGAAATAAATCTGCATATAGATATATAAAGCAAAAACATCAAATCGAGCATTAATATTGTTATCAAAATTGTAAACTACCAAGTCACGTTAATCGTGAACAATATTATGTACTTCCCATCAGAACTCTTGTTGTTAATTTATAAAACTGTTTTTACGTGTAAGATCGGATGAGTTAATGCTCTTGATTATTTTTAATGCTTAGTTCCTATTTACATTCAAAAGTAACTAATTTATTTAATAGACAAAACACTAATATTTAAAAATTATTATTTATTCATGACTGTACAGTCGATTTTCAATGGACGTTTGTATAGATGAGAAAACAACTAATTTTGATAAAAAGTGACTTTACTTTAAAAAAAAAAAGCTGTTTGCTTGTGTGAAAGAAATAAGAATTTATATGTGCACGTATAGTCTACCTGAAATTTGTCACGGGCCTACTGAAAAAAGTAATGTACTAAACAGAATCTTACGAATAAATTTGTAAAGCAATGTTTTTTTTTAAACTATTGATATAAAGGGTTTCAATATAATTTCAGAGCTTATCTAAAACCACTGTTACAGAACATGCACACAAGTTTTAGACAGGAAATACAGTCTGTACTGCTGTCAGGACATGCAAGATAATGTATGCCTTCTTGATATGTGTCCTCCTTTTTGCAATATTTAAAGAATCGGAAGACGTTGTTGCTGTTATAGTTGTTGCTTATATTTTCTAGTTACAATGTATAGTCGCATAATAAAATACAATTGATGACTATTTCATCGTGTTGTTACTTAAGTCGTTTTTCTTTCTTTGTGTATGAGTAACAAATCCTTCTCGTTACTATTTGTAATGCTACTAAAGGTGAGAAAGGCGGCATTCATAAAGTAAGGACAATGAGTTATTTTTAAAAATGCAGTTTAGGATATCATAGAAAATTAATAATCAGTTAAAGAATATACCGTATAAGTACTTTTTTCTGTGGGAACTTTATTTTTGCTATTTCTGCGGTTTATAACGACACCGCAGATTTAAAAACCGCAGAAAATTAAGTCTTTTGCTATGTCTACATCAGACCTGGGGCTGATTACATTGATCAGTAATTGATTTAATTACAATTACTTTCAGTTTTTATTGTAATTGATTAAGATTGATTACTCACACTTGCCTCTGTAATCAATTAAATTACAATTATTTTAAGAGAGTAATTGATTGATAATTGATTACATTCAATGTAAAGTAGAATTCTTACTTAAGACCACCCCTGAATTAAGACAACCCCTTTAATAAGACTATTTTTTACAAGATTCTTTAGACAATGGTGAAATGATCCAGAATTAAAAACAACTGCTTATCCACTTTTAAGACCACCTGATTAAGTCCAACAGGGCTTCCACTAAGTTTCAAAATTTGGAAGTCAGAGACTGCAAAATCTCTGGACCCACTGTTGAAAGTCACACTATATATGTAAAGAAGGAAAAACATTAAATTTTGGAAGTCACAAGCCAAAAGCAAGGAGTAAATGACTCCCAAACTTCCATTAACGTAAGCCCTGGTCCAAATTCTTTGCTTTATTCTTAATTTGACCCAACTACATTGTATTGAGACCACTGATATTAAAGTCAACACCTATCTAGATATTAGATTTGTTGTTATGATCTGCTTGAATGCTAAAATGCATGACACTTCAGGTGTGAAAAACTTTTACTATTGGGTCATTGTATGAAATAAGGTGAGAAGGTTAATTTTAGAGTGGTTTAATGTTGCTTTCAGCAAATTTATTTTGTGAAGAATTAAGTTTTATTTGATAGGTGATTTATGTACATCATATTATAATTGATAATGAAATCTGACTAAAGATAATTGTATCTTAAATTTCTTCAGAAATATCCTTCCTCTCATCAAATATCATAGCATACTTTTATAGTGTCTAATATTGTATTTGTAGCTTAAGATACATGCTGTTAAATGACTAAAATAGATCATGGTAATAAGTATGTAAGCAATGATGAGAATATTCACAATTAAGACCACCCCACAATTTAGACCACTTTGGTCCAGCCCAGATGATGGTCTTAATTAAGGGCTTTTACTTTATAAATGCAATACAAAAGATAAACTGTATCATGTAAAATAAAGGCATCCTTTGAATTTAAATAGTTTCCTGTTAAATCTGAAAGTAATCAATGTCAATCAAATTTTTATCATAATTACTGACTGAATTTTAGCTGTAATTGATTAATTACAATTAATGTAATCAATCTTGGGCAAAGTAATCAATTACATGATGATTATAGTGTAATCATGTAATCAATTAAAAAATCAATGATTACGATTAATGATTACCCCAGGTCTGGTCTACATGTATGTCGGAATATGTCAACTACCTGTATTGCATAATTACATTACCATGTACCGTATCAGCTTTTGTAGATGGAAATTTTTCTTTATGTATCCGTCATGAATAAATTATTAGAAAAAAGTTAATTTACTTGTTATAAAAAATATCATGTTTGTATGATTTTCGCTCACCCTAAGCTTGATTTATTTTGAATAAAACTATTATAGTTTGACGGGTGCATAAACATACCTTTTTGTATTTGTACAATATATTGTGTCTACGTGCGACTTTACCATAGTTTATTTTTCACACTTCATTTTTTACACATGCAGTATTACAATTAATTGTTTTCATTGCACGGTTAATTTTGTAAAAATATCTTTATTAAAACACAGAAATAAAAAACATCACTTATATATGCGAAAATGATGACACCGCAGAAATAAGATACGCAGAAATTTAAAACACCTTATTTTAACCAAAATTGCAGAATATTAAGCCCGCAGAAATAAGTACTTATACGGTAACTAACTAAAAGTCTGAAACAATGACGTGGACCTGAGGACCAGGAAGTAGTATTTTTACAAACAACAAAAAAGAAAAAATTGACACATACCATTGACGAGAAGTCACAAACTGAGAGACTCTGGGACAAAAGCAATTAAAAATTAACAAGCAGACACATGCATTTTAGGGACAAAAAAGTTAAAATTTACTAATAAACCAATATGGTTGCATACAAAACATGGTAATGTAAAAAAGAGAAAATAACAAATAAAATTCTCTGATTCATATTTTTTTGTATTTTGTTGTTCTTGTTTTGTCTTTATTATTATTCAAGTACTTAATAAATATACAACAACTTTATAAACGTTTATATAATAACCTTTTACCCTACATTTGTTGAAGTTTTTAAAAAATTTATTCAAAAACATTTAGATGGTTCTGATTAAATAGAACATGACTACGTTAAGATAATACGATAATCTTGTTCATTTACTTTTTGTTATAAGACCTGATTGTGACTCATGATATGTTACTTTAGTTTCATGTTCTATTCATGAATTCGTTGACTTGTTGTATTTATACACATGTACGGGTTCAAATATTTCCTTCTTCCTCCTAAACATTCGTTTAAGCAAACTTTTGTAAAATATGTTTCAGCAATATTGTCATTATGTACTTAAACTAAAACATTTTGCAAACCTTTAATTACTTTGTATATAATGATATGTAACTGAGGGTCCATCCGTCTGTCTGCTAGCTATTTCTGGTCCGCTCTGTATCTTTTGAACCACCCTGAAGAAAACTGAACTAATCAGCAGCAAAATTAAACATTATAAGACAATGTGCAGTGTGCAGATTTAGGCTTTTCTGGTGTGAAGGTCAACATTATGTATAAATTTCATGTCCACTCTGTATGCTTCGAACCGTTTGAACGAAATTAAAAAGTATACATATGGCATAAATAATAATAGACTAAGTACTGAGATGCCTTGCAGAACATAGGTTTGGGCTTCTTCAGATCAAGGTCAAGTTCGCACTGATTGAATGTATGTTTTAAGCTTGCAATTCTTTTGACATGTGAAACTTCCTGTACTGTTGTTGCTGATCTGAAGGTAACCTTAGACTCTTATCGTTTGTATAATAGCTGAATTGGAAGACAATTGTAGATAGCATATCACCAAGAGACCATTACCTATTATTTAATCAAATGCCCAAAATAGGTCCAAAAAGAGAGACAGACCGGAAAATCCTCTTTTATTCTTCTGGAAGCAGATCACTACATAAATTATAAATTTACCTCGGCCTCATTTTTCTTCATTAAAATGAAAGAATGTTAGATACTAACCACTAAGTAATTGGAACATGATATGATCACTCACGCATGAACCCATCCGTTGATGTTCTCTTTAACCATTTTATAATTTAGTAGAAAGTTACCTGAAGCACACGGCAGTATTGTTAAAACCTTTTGCCCATCAAACATGTTTTAATAGTGTTTTTTACTTGTATATTTATATAAACTATGTAAAATTATTATATACTTTTAGATAATGTTTATATCTGTAAATTGAAAATTATCGACCTATATTAAAAGAAAGGATTTCCGAACATTATATATTATATTATCTTAAAGTGCCATTTAATAGACTTCTTAATTTGATTCAGCAAACTAATACACACAATACAATATTTAAAATGGTATTATTTCAATGAAAATTTCGGTTTCTCATGTTAATACTGTCAAAACCTGTCATGAGTAATTTGAGCCAACACCTCCCCAACCGACTAATCTACCGAACGCTTAAATAACAAATGCATTGTATAGTTTATTTAGACGTTTTGAAGTTCACGTGGTAAACAATAATATATAAGCTGATCACCTGATAGAAAACATTAGAAAGGATTTTGAAACAACCATCATCTGTTAAACGTATCAAACATGAAAGCAGTTTTTGAAATCGTCCTTGCGGTGTATTTTGTTTGTTGTGTTGCGGCACAAGAATGTCCCAAATATCACTACGAGGAGCAAGTTCTATCAAAGGTTGTCAGACTGGAACACAGATTAGAACTGCTGGAGAAAAGGGCCGACAAAGAAGGTAAGTACGTTTTATGTATCTTAAAGGGAATACTTAGCTGGTAATATTTATCTTTAATTTAGTTAGAATACAAGGTTTTTACATACTTTTATCCTTTTTTTACACTGGAAGATGTTATTTTAACAATTTGAAAATGCTTTAATTTTACTTTCACAAAAATGTTGGAACGAATCACAGTACTCAGCTTTTCATAAATTAACAAAATTAAACTTTACTCCGAAAAAAAACCCCAAAAAATAGAAACAAGTTAGGCTGTTGTTGTATATGTATCAGCATTACATGATGTAAATAAACATTGTAATGTATCTTTACAATATCGAACGATATTATATTTTATTAATATCTGTCCCGTTTCGTTCGGTTCAATAAGATTCAATTTGTTTGAATATCCATTAAAAATAAAAAATCTGACAATATCATGGTAAAGAAACTTCTTTTACGATTTCATGATATACTAAAAACAAAATATGTTTAATTATATTGCATTCCAAGCCATGTAGGAATACGAGGAAATGAAAAAGTAGATGCTTTAGCTAAACAATCATTAAATTTTCGAAAAACTGACTTATTGTTACCTGCTTGTGATTTTAGACCAGCTATAAATAAACTCGTATCATCTGAATGGAAAGCAAATTGGGACAATGCCGTTTTTAATAAACTTCACGATATAAACCCATCTCTTGATATGTCACCAGAAATCCATCAGTTTATAAATTTTTACAATTATTGAACTCAAATAGTAAATATGAATTAATTCAGTTATCCAAATTTGTTAAAGAAGCACTTGCTTTGAGAAACACACTGTTAAATGTTGAGCGTTAAACATCATTATTGCTCATTCTCCTGTTTGTATGTCTTTACTTTTTAATTTGTAGTATACATATTTATTATTTCATTTTCTTGTTACTAGATGAATTAAGATTAAGAATTTTGAAAATGTCATACTTGCTATTACCATTATATTGACGTTATGCTTGTAAATATTATTGTATTATAGATGATGTACTATGTACAAATCTTAATAAAGTATCTGTTCTGTTCTGTTCTGTTCTATCTCTGTCAAACCGCCGTGATCAAACAGTTCTTCTTCGATGCCGAATTGGACACACTAAAATTACCCACTCTTATCTCCTCACAAATGACAATGCCCCTTTCTGTGTAGGTTGTAATGAAAATTTTACTGTCAAGCATTTTCTTCTTGAATGTCATGATTTTTCACAGGCCCGTAATAGATTTTATTCTGTAAATTCACTCAAAGAACTTTTTAATACAATTCCATCAAAAAACATAATTGATTATTTAAAAGAGATAAATTTGTATTCTAGGATCTAATTTGCTCATTTCTATTGTCATTGACAATGTTTTACATAATATTTTAAGCCTATTGTAGCATTCGGCACGATATGGCCAGTTGTGTGTTGACGTGCCGTAAAAATCCAAACAAACAAACAAAACAAAATCTTAGAAAAAATCTTCTGCTCAAAGATTCAGTGGGTATACAGAGAACATGAATTACTACAGAACATTTTTTAATGTATCAGTGTCGAATCTTAAATGAGGTATTCATTTAGCTAACGTGTCAATGTGTTATTGTGAGCTCTACTTGAGGTTGGTTTGATCACTGACACAATGTTTTATTTAATAATTAAATGTTACTTTTATAGTAGAATACCACACATAATATAAAAAATGTACACAGGTAATCGTGACGTTAACAAATAGATATTAAAAACAGTAACAAAATTTATATATCTAGTGGAAAGCCAAATTTTTATCTCTTGGAAATCTAAATTCTTATTGTTCAGTTTGTCTATCTTTGCAAAGTTTCTTAAAATGGTTTCGTTTTACACTGGCCAATAGAATTTTAACATCTTTGTTTCTTAAATAACAAAATTGCCAAATGAATCAGGTTTCAATACAAAATAATGTAACATAGCAACATGGAATTTATAACAACAATCATCACCTGGACATTTTATTAGTCATAATGTTTAACAATTTCATAAGTACAGACAACGTAATTGAGATAATCACCTAAATATAATAAAACTTTAAGCACAATTTAATGAACAAAGATGAAAAACCACATTTAACTTACGGTTATGTAATTATTAATTTGGCATAACTGTTATTAAAACATTAGTCATTTGTAACCTTAACATATTTGATATTTTACACTTTATTTTAAAAATATTGACTTTTTACATAATAATAACAATTATAACAACTAAGCATGCATATTCATTCATTATTTTTATTAAAAAATTGTTGCTGTTTTTCTGCTGCGCAAAACATGCGTAAAGGTCTGTCTGTCATACAAATAAAAACGTTTAAATATAAGGTTTACTAAATATATATTTTTTGTCACTTAATTACAGGTGTTGAGAATATAAATGTATATTTGCAATAGTTGATTTACATTTAGTTACTAGTAAAACTCTAGCATTTAATGCTCTGCGTGCGTGAGTGCGTGCGTGTGTGTTTGTGTGTTTGCACGCATGCTATTCAATTTTAGAATTGTTATTATAAGATGAATTAAGCTGTTACCATTTTGGTTGCATGTTTTAAGACAGCAAAACTTAATATTTAATCTCTACAAAAAATAGGACAAATAAGGAAAATATGTAATAACCGTAAGATATAGACAATTTAAAGGTAGACTAGTACGGTAAGTTAAAAGATAGTACAACTCTGTAGATTGAGTAATTTCACGGGTGGAAGTGGTTAGTGCAATGCATTGTCCAACCCAACACCGGTTTAATTAATCACTGTAAAAAGTTTAGAAGCATCTGTAATGTTTAATGATTGAAGATAAACATGTAACCATATCTTTATTTGTTTTTGAAGATAAACATGTAACCATATATTTATTAGTTCAACATTCACTTGAAATGTTAATAATTACTGACAAAACTGTAATTTTTCTTTCGTTCTTAAAGACAAAGAAGATAAAGAAGTACAGCAGTGCCAAGATAGATGGATAAAATACAAGCGGTCATGCTACTTCATATCAGAGGATGACATGTCATATGATAGAGCACGAGTGAGTTCCATCAAAATTAACACATTTTAAGTTACGTTTTGGCGTAATTTTATAGATTTGGTTTAAACATATTTTATTCGTCACATAAGCATATTTACATACATGATATGTTTAAATAAAACAAGAAAAGGATTAGACTGAAAGCAACCTTATGCTTAGATTTATGATCTTAGATTAACTCTCATAACACAAGTATTAGATTTTTTCTACCAGATCTGTATTTCCCACTACTTAGACCGTTATTTTGTAATTTAAAGCCTTTTTTTTTAAAGAAAATAATTTAACTGTATTTGCAGGCAAACTGCCAAAACCTAAAAGCTGATTTAGTTCATATTGATAACGCAGACGAAAACACGTTCCTTACCAACCATCTCAATACCTTAAAAGGTTAGCAAATTTTAAATTTCATTTCATTTACTAGTAAAGTCACGTTTCTTATCCGCATAAGTTTTCTAGACATTTCTTTTTGCTTAGTTTCATATAATTTTAAAAGTAATTTCGTTGTTTACTTGACATAAGAATGAGATGTTGAGACTTTACATTTACAAAAGGTTATCCTACCTGATTTAAATACAGCGCAACCAAAGTAATGTGTGTATCGTAAATGAATTCGTAGTTATTTGTGTATCTACATGAATAACCAACATCCCGTCATATGTCATCCATAGGTATGAGCTTTTGGATTGGACTCACAGATGCTGACAGAGAGGGTATCTTTAAGTGGATTGACGACAACTCAAGGATATCATTTTCAGACTGGAGTCCATCACAACCTGATAATAGCGGAAATAAGGAAGACTGTACACACATTTATGCAAAGTGGGATTTTAAATGGAATGACCTAAACTGTCTGACTCCAGCAAAGTATATTTGTGAAGAGACAATCACATATTGAAAAAGATGAAAAAAAAAGAATATCAGCACAATAAAAACGTCATACAATTTTCTTAAACTGATAATAGGGAAGAAACTTCTGAAACGTTTACACGTCCAAATCATAAAATAATCTAAAGGAGTGCAAAAAGAAAAAGCAACTTATTAATTAAATATCTTTGATTTTTTCGATTCGTGAACGTCCTCCAATTTTCAATTAAAAATTTCAATTTTTTTCCAATGACAAGCATTTTCAGAATAAGACTCTACTGAGTTATAAATGACATTCTATAAGTTGTGTCCAAAATGACGAGTCTGACGATCTCAGGAAAAAATCTCAATTTTTTCAATTATGTTCATGATATATCATACGATTATTGATGTATTCAATTCAAATAAATTTCAAAATTTCGATATATCATTGCATATTAATAAAGCATTGTGTGTATATGAATACGCAATGTGTAAGGGCATTTACGGCCCATTTAGAAACATATCTTACAGTGTTTCCTAGATCTAAAATCTAAACAGTTTCACAAAACTCCAAAATAAGCTGTGCGAGTAATATGAGTTTTAACTCGTCCTAGGATCTTTTTGAAGATACTTCTTGTTTTATTAAAAATGTATTGATAAGACGTAAATACGTAAATTTTCGACAAAATAATCTCTGTGAATAATGGAATAATTGACCATTTTAAAGATGTTCTACATACTGGTCTTGCGTTAAAAATATATTTATTATAATCCTGCAGAAGTTATGATAGAAATAACTCCATTTTAAAAAAATATGTCTATAAATCTTATTAGTATTTGACTCAATTAATTGATCAAACTTAAAGTTTAACTTATTGTTCTAAAATTTCATTCATTACACACATTGTCAGGTTATATTTTTATAATATGACACTGGTCTAAACAACTTTGATGATTCGTTATTAACATGTCTAGCTTTTTATCAAAAAAGGATCAAATTACTCTTCTTTTTCTGTTTAAATTGTTTTGATCTTGAAATTAATCTAATGTAATAATAACAATAAATTATAAATATAAATCCCTAAAGAAAGTCCAAAACAACAAATTTGAAAATGTTGCAGGCTACGTTTGATTTAGCCTGTTAAAGAAGTGAACGGTTCTGTCAAGTGCAAACTCCCATCCACGCCCCCTAACACCGGCTACAACAGAACCCGAAAATGTTGAAAAATTGAATTTAGAAACATCCGCCTATGTAAATAAAAATAACAACACTAATAACAACATTTTATTTTATATAATAGGACGACCTACGGCCCATGATATATCTACATTATAAGTAATTTTCACTGTTCTAGACAATTACACACGTTTATATTTTGGAAGTTCAGCTTTTACATAGAAAAATCGCATACATCTTTTAACTATTGTGTGAATAAACCACCGTATATTTATTCGTGATTGTTATTTGTAATTATTTTAACATAGAAAACTTCCAACATAATATGCGACCCAGGTATAAATATTTTGCCTGCGAATACTTTTTACACTCATAAAATACATGAAATTCATTTTCTATCACTGTTATCTGATGCTCAATACAATAGGTACATAGTCTTACATTTCTGGGTATCCCCATATGCCTACCACGTTCGATTCTCAGTTTATGACTCGACAACCTGAATTTAACAAAGCTTTTACGTAGATAAAACGTCTAATTTTAAGAAGAACTCTACATCTAACAAGGATTTGAACTTTTTATAATGTTCACCTCTATTCAAGTCGAGGCATTAATTTTAGTTAAACAATATAGATAAGATAAATGATTAACAAATGACGGTATCTTATAAAATATAATTGTCTGAATGGTTGGTAAATTAATATAACGTTTACTTACTGCCGAGTTACATACTACAGAAAAAAAGGTATTATTTGATTACCAAAATCACTGTTGTAGTTAAAAGGTATACATGTATACAAATAAATTTATATACATTTATTATACCTCACGTAAACTTTTTACCATATAGCCTTATGTGATGTCATATTTAGATATTTTTATATCATCCTAGAAATGATTATCAGACTTTTGCAAAATTTCCCAGTAATCTTCATAGTTCTATATAGTCATCTATATAAATTCTCTCGTTCTCTCCCCTAACCCTATCCAATAACGAATTAAAAATTACATGCTGTTATTTCAGTTTCGGGTTGCTTATATGCACTAATACCCTGAGAGACATGTGTTATTTTTATTTATATAAACTGAAACAATAAAAACGTTCAGATATATATTTAACTCATTCATTTGTATTTTCCATATTTTATCAATAAAAATCATCATCATCATCAATTATTATTATTATTATTATTATTATAATTATTATTATTGTTATTATTATTATTATTATTATTATTATTATTATTATTATTATTAGTATTAAAAAATATGATAAATGTCAACAACATATAATGATAATAATAATAAAAATAATATAGCATTATCTATTTGTTTTAAAATATTTGGAAGAAATGCAAAATATATTCCACCTGAAATATGTCACTGGACAATCGTAAGCAATAAAGTTAAAAAATGCATGATTATACTAGGACAGATCGCGCAAAAGCAATTTGTGCTGTATTATAAATTCTTCAAAAAATGTAATTGGGTTTGTCGTATAGTTGATTGCACAGATTAATTAGTCATACATGTTATATTAAAAAAGAATGACAACAAAAAGATCTTACAAGTGCATATGTTTATTTCATAATGTGAACTGTTAAACATGACATTGATTTATATATATTATACTACAAAATACATGCAGGCTGGGCTGGATGGTAATAATATGTCAAAATGATTAATGAGAGTTCTGCATGTAACTCTAAAACGCGTGCATGTATTAACATGATAGTTGTCATTATTGCAAGCTGTCATTATATATACTATTCTCAATGTCCAGTTAGATAGTTCGAATTTAGTTCTTGACTTGTAGACTTGTGTATTTGTATATTAAAAGTATGAAACATATGTGAGTTCTCTCTCCGTTATACGACAGGTTGTGTGCGTGTATAGAAGAAGCTCAAAATATATTTCAACTAACATATTTCATCGGCCAACCAAAAACAACAATATGTTGTTATTTCCGATACGATTTCAAGTGCTCATTTAAAAGAATGATTTTGAGTTTCTGGAAGTGTTGAAATTGAGGGTTCAGAGACATGAATACACTACACTCGGTGAGACCAAACATCAAATCTTTTCAGCTGGTAATAACAACACTAATTTCAAAATTCTAGCGTTGGGATTCGAAGAAACTGCTACATGAAGTGGTTGATAACAAAATCCAGGAAAATATTATGTTGCAACAGTTAAATATAATTCCGATTGCAATTGATAGAAAAAAAGTGTTAAAATATAAAAGTGTTGAATAAATATTCGTACTGAAAATAAAACGTACGAGTATTTAAGTTTGCATTTGATATTATACAATTATTGACTAGTGAGCCATTGAATATGATGTGATATTCACCGGCAGAAAGTCATATTGACCTCGGCTTTGCCTCGGTCAATATGTCATCTGCCGTTGAATAATTGTTTTATTATATGAATAGGCTAAGAATTAAAAAGAAACACCAAAGTACAACCTTATATACATGTACAAATTTTGCCTTGATGAGGTGCGGGGAAAAAAGACGCACGTGTTAGGCGTGAAAAGACTACGCAAACGCTACGCATAAAAAGTAATTCAAGTTTCTACTCGTCATTGCGGTGTAGCCTAAGGCTCAATATCCTTGTTGGACTGACTGGAATACTTCAAGAGGTACTGTATATTAATGTGTTCGTTATATTATCGTTAGTAAATTAAAGGCCCATATAATCTATGATTATTTCTACAATGATTTTTATATTTTGTATTCCTGAAAGGTTTATCATTTACGACGATATTTTGCTCTTGCTGCTTTCTAAACTTTGTACATTTACAGTGATTAAGTGTTTTGTGTGGGAGTCAAAATACTTCGTTGTATACATTTTGCTACTTTTATGACAAATTATTTAACATAATGTGATGCTTTCTAAAGGTAATAAGTGGGTAACATCTTCTGAAATTATTATATAAAATAGCATTGAACTCATGTTTCCCTTCTTAAGAAAAAAAACATTTATTTGTTCTAAGGCATAATGTGCCTATATAGAAAATAAAAAGCTCCTACATTGATTGTACTAGTATTGAAACCCGTATGACATCTCTGTCTTTATCTTATATTGTCATTTATCATCATTTATAATATTTGAATAACTTATTATTTGTAAACATAATCATAATTGGTATGGTAACTTTAAAAACAGCTTTACAAGAAGACAGCATCTGTAGCTTCTTGATATAACCTAATGGATTTTATCACATACCCGTATCGCTTTTGCGACTCCATAATCATGATAATGGAATCATATTGCCGTGCAAATGGTTGTTTTTCACTTTAAACACTGAGTCTTTTTTGTTTTGTTTTTTGTTTGTGATAATTAGAATTTTAGATTCTTGTAAGTTCATTAAGAGGCTTGCAAAATATAATTTTATTGAGCACGTTCAATAAATTCAGTAGTACTCATACACTCAATCAATATCCTTTAATTCTGATCTCATCGTCAAGTGAATATCACAATTGTCATGCGTAGGATTATTCATTTTTCTTTACAGGTGAGCATGGATTTGTTAGAGGCTGTACGTGAAGCCGGTGTTGTGGTAGACATTCTACGTGCAGAACGACAGGACGATGCGGTGTTTGATGCCATTTACCAGACAGCCGTGGACATAGCTGCTGAATTTCAGGAAAAATATTAGAAAATCCTTATTAATTGTTTAATGGTTTATATGGTAAACCGATTTAACCACTATTATAATAAATGCCTATAAAAATGAGATCTTCAAATTTTTAAGACCGATCAAATTCCTCCATATAACAGTGCATTTGTTTTCTGGCCAGTTAGTAATAAATATAGTGCATACTAAGCCTTATAACCTTATAATAGTATAAGTTTACTAGTTGACCTTTGACAGAAGCAGCACGTGTATTACGAACATCACTATGATAAAAATCACAGTTTATTTTAACTAAGGGGATATTTTATATGGTACATGTATACGAACGCAGTTACCACATACATCGAAAATAGTACAATCAAATTATTTTTCACAATTATTGTTTGTATTTGTACAGATTGATGCAAGTGTACCGCGTCAAGCCGCCAGACAGCGCCATAGAGCCAATTGTCAGATTGGGGATCCAAAGGAATACTGGCGAGTATCTTTATTCAACGTTTTCGTTGACCATCTTGCCGAGGAAATTAGTACCCGGGTGATGAGCAATCATGATCGTTTTGTGCACAAATGCTCATGCCCACAAAGATCAGGAACCTGAATGATGGACATGTAGATTCT